AAAAAAAAAAAAGTAAACCCACAACTTGACTGGAATCATGGCGTACCGTGGCAATTACTTCAGCGGGGAGCTGATTCCCGTGACAGTGGGATCTGCTAGGGGGGAAGAGCTTCGTCTCTCGGTTCCGAGAGGGACAACAGTTGGGGAAATGCGCAATTTTCTCATTCAAGAATATGACTACCCATCAAAGATGCATCTTATGTACGAATCAACAATTGTCCCTGATGACCACCGCACAGAAGATTATCCAGACGGGTCGCTTATCATTATGCTACCTGTAGATCTAGGGCAGGGTTCCGACGGAATGCAGCCGCAAGCACCATGGCCTTCGTACAGAGGATTACAATGGCAAGAGCAGCCATATGCATCCCAGTGGTCTCAGCCTAACCACCGTAACCAGCAGACCCAGCAACGGCGCCAACAAGAGCAGCATCCATGCATCCAAACAGACCAGACTCCACAGATTCGACATCAGCAGCAACAACAACAACATGCACGGCAACATGAGCAGCCTTCATACGGCCAAGCACCTCAAACTGCGCATATGCGGTACCTCCACGATCATCACCACCAGCAACAACAAAACTATCACCAGCAGCACCAACAATTGCCACAGCAGGAACGGTTTTCGTACAACCAAGCACCTCAACCCACACATATGCGGCACCAGCGACAACAACAACAACAGAACCGCCAACAATATTCTCAGAAGCCGCAGCAGCCACAACAACACAATGCCGTGCCGTCACTTCCTCAATCTAAACCATATCAAAAACAAGCATTTGAAAGACCACTCTCAGCTAAACGGCAAGGACAGCCTAGGAGAAAACAAGATCGGCTTCACAGCACGGAGCCTCAGCAGGCACCGACAACTACACCAACTCCACCGGTTGAGTTGCAACGCAGCCGACCGTCGTCGAACTCCAGAGCTTCAAGTGGAACGCGAACCCCACGAGGCTGTAACACAGAAGAAAGATTCAACCGTCAAGGTGATTCGGTAAGGTCGGCTCCGCGTCCGTCTTCTCCGCCTTTGCGGAGCCCGTACCGCAGCGGTGTTGGTGATAGTGATATCAATGCCGACTCGAATGGGACTCCACCCGTTTCTGTTACTCTTTTACAGGGCACAGATGGTGATGGGTTGAAAAATTGCACTCCGCGGGTTGCTTCTGCGTCTGCAACGCCTTTGCAAGCCTCAATGACCCCTGGAGAGGCCAATGATGCAGAAGCGGCCAACGCACCAAGCAGTGCGGCTGGGGGGGAGTCACCTAGTAGCAAGCAAATATCTCTCAAGTGTGTGGTTCCTGCTCTCAAAAAGAACATACCACTGATGTTGGCCGAGGACGCCACCCTGGATGACCTGCTGGTGGCGGTGGTAGCTCAAGATCCGCGCTTGGCGGGCTCCAAGGTTATCTTTCGCGGAAAGTTGCTGAAAGAGTCGCATGTCAAGCTCAGCGTAGCCGGAATTCGACCTGGTGCGCCTCCCTCTTCGGTGATATCGACGAATCCCAACATGGCTGGTGTGTACACTCTATTCTTTGCGTCCGGAGAGTTCAGTGACCCTGAGAAGGTTATGCTCTTGGAGATCGAGGCGGATGTAGCATGCGTTGAGACGGAGGTAGAGCGTGGTGAGCTGACACTCCAGCAGCGTCGCGGGTACTACGAGGAGTTGATGCGTATTTTGTTTCGAACAGATGATCTGCAGGAACTCGAGGGCGAATGGCGTGCGAGGCGAAAGGAGGTTGTGCTTAAAGTGACGAGTATGCAAGATAGGCTCAGGGTAACTGAAGACGTATAAAAGAAAAGTGTGTTAGAGAGAGGCGG